AATTCAGGGCAATACAACTGTTTCCGGTACCACAGCTACTCGGTGTAAATCGACCATCGTGATATCACTACTGCTAGAGCGCAGCTACTTGTCGTGACACACCCGTTCGTGGTACCACAATTGCCGGTTTTATCAAAACTATTCGTAGAACGACATCTAACCGTGGCATCAAAGTTATTCGGAGTACCACAGTTACTCGTGTTAATACTATAATTCAGGCCACTACAACAGCTCATGGTGTCAAAATTATTTCTGGAACTAGAAATATTCGCTATTCTGTGATTATTCATGGTACTACAATTATTCGAAGAGGCCCCAAATGCTCGTGGTACACATCTTTTCGTGATACTACTCACACCACAACTGTTCGTGGCACGGCATTTACTCATGGTGCCAGAATTATCCGCGGAGCCACAACAACTCGTGGTGTTACAACTATCTGCAGTACCACAATTACTTGTGACGCCACCACAACTCGCGGCAGTATTGCCATTCCTGGTACCACAGCTATCCGTGTTATTAGAACTATTCGTGGCACCACGATTATTCATGATATTGCAGCTGTTCATGGCATATCGTCGTGTGAGTGCTGCGTGCGCGCTTGCTTGTGTTTGTGTGTGTTTGCTTGTATGTTGGTGTGTGCGAAACCTTTGTCTGAATTTTTTGATTTGAAGGCCTACGAAAGCTCTTAAGTTGAATATTTAGCATCTTACGGCCTCTTAACGTAAAGTGACGTTTGCGCCCTTCTGGTACTCACGTACGGGCACGTGAAGGGTTTTTGATGGGAAAGTGATTTCGGGAACCAGGTAAGCTAGGTGGCAGTAACTTCATGAAGATACCTTTTGTTAGCCTTTCTGCGCTCATAGGTATCAAATTCTTATACGTCAGTTTTAAAAAGGCATCATGCCAACCAGAGATAGGCCGAGTAGAAAGCGCTGTAATTTTGCTACTTTGTTTGCTTTCCTATGGCGTGCTCGTGAAAATTACTTGAGCTTTCACGCCACCCTGCATCTCACGCACAGACACGTGAAATTTGACGGCACCAGTTCTGTAACTTCGAAAATAAAATAGTCAGAAGGCCGAAGTTTTTTGAGCTTGACGGATGGTACTAAATACTTTAGTCCGGAACGCACTTGCCGGTGCGAATATGCGTTTTTGCTCTAGACATGAAGCAATTAGGTCATTATCCGTATGTATGGTTGTTGCTTTATATTCACTTTGTGCGCTCACTCGCTCAAAGCATTGCATAAGTTACGCATAAAGGAAAATGAGCGATTTCCAACAAGCCTTCATTTTTCGAAAGTGAGCAAGTTTCCCGACAAATCTTCGCGTGCCGTGCATGAAAACCACGTGTATCAGGGGCTGAATTTAAAATCTTTGTACTTAGGCAGAGAACATTCCCTTAAAATTTCAGCTTCCAGCTGTTGTGGTTGAAGAGTTAGCAATTTTCCAGTCAGAAATTTTCACACGCCCGCATGCAAGAAAGGCATATCCAGGCTCTGAATTTGAAATCTCTAAGTTATAGGTGGGTGAGGAAAGTTTCAGCCTTCTAGCTTTTCTGGTTGCTGAATTGAAAATTGGTAATAAAGTCCACTGGCTTCCGAACACACACACACACACACTGGGATTTCTCAACACTACGCGTTTCGGCTCGCTGTAA